GGGAAATGCCATCCTGGCCTCAACCCTAGGGTTTATATGTGAGCCAGGCCCTGCCCCTTCTGGTCAGCTGATCGCTGGCAGGTGTGGGCCAACTATCTGATTCTGGCTGCCCTGGTAACCAGCAGCTGGGGCTCCCCACTCACTGCTACGGCTTTTTCCCTAGCAGTTTCCACTCTTTAAAGGAACAGGGCACCTAAGTCCTCTGTGACAAGAGGCAACTGGATGAAATATTATGGTCTATAGTCCTAAAGTAGGACATACTAAAGAATCTAATAGACCCTTCCAGATTTAACGTGTGAATTTGACAGCACGTTTGTTTGTTTGGGATTGTTTGTAAATGGTCCTGGAACTGTTTGAGTTTTACTTGAAATGTTACCTAGAATAGTTTTCTCAGTCTTTTCTGAGTGGCTGTCACTTGTTCATGAGAAGCTGTATGTGGATAACAGAGTATTCAACATTTGAACTATCATGATTCATTGTATTGGGCACTTAGTGTTCTCCTGTGTTCAGATTCATTGCCTGTAATTCTTAATCAGATTTCCACTGCAAATACTGCAGGTATGGATTCAAAATTTTCTTTGTGCCAATGTCTTGGAAAATGTAACAAATATATAGATTTGAAAAACTTTCCTGCCAGTCAGCTACTTTTCTAAGCAATTTGTGGAAGATAAACCCAAACTGGAAAGGGGTACACAAATGTACCAAAATGAACCATTTTAACAGTGCTTTTTTCACTCTGCTTTGCTCTGATTATATAATAAAACCTAAACCAGGTGAGTTCCATGCTTTAGCTTTTTGTGCGTGTATGTGTGTGTGAGCATATTACACACTCAACTTTGCAGTGCCAAGTTCTGTTTGGATCAAATCCAAAGTAAGTTAGCAATGGAATTGTTTCCCAGAATCTTTTCAGAAACATAATATGTACATGAAGAAAGGGAAGAAAGCACAGTGTTTGGCATTTTTTAAAGCTGAGCTCAATTCTAAAACAAAAAAAGTGCAGAGGTGCTTTCAGGGTGTTGTCCACACCTGTCACAGAGCCTGCACAAGGCTCTGCACTTCTTAGAACAGTGCTTCCTAACCTTTTTTCTGTAGCAGCTCCAGTTCTGGACTTGCAGCTTCTCTCAACTTTCAGTCCAAGGCTGACTTCTATGATTGAATTTATGTGCGACTTCAAGCCAAAATCCCACTTGAGGATGCAACCTCAAGCATCTTGGGAACTGCTGACTTAGGCTTTGTATCCTGAATTTGCAGAGAACGGTGCAGACAGGTTCCTACATCTGTGTGGAGTCTTACTGACCCTAGTCAAGTCAACAAGGTTATTCCATCTTACATGTTTGCTGGACTGAAGCCTTGGGGGCTCCCATTAAATTGTGCAGGAGTTGGACAGCTTCTGAAACAGCTTGTTCAAAAATGCTAGTCAAATTGTTTCTGTGTCTTGCTATTTCTTCCCTTTCTTATTTTCAATTGCTGTCCTTCTAGGACATGGCTTTACCCTAACCATGCTCAAAATATTTGATGGCATGGGTCCTCCATATTGACCATTTGTCTTAGCAAGGTAAAAATGAAGGTTGAGCTGAAAATCTGTTTGTCTGAGATTCTTGTGCCAGATTGAATGTATATTCTCATCCATCATGTTAAAAAGCCCACCTATTAAAAGTAGCTGTTTGTTCCAATAAGTATGTTTGATCATGTGAGTGATCATATTGGTACCTTCCCCAAGTACCTCCTATTACAATTGGGCAACCTATTAGGCCTTTGTGTTGTGACAGCACCTGAGACTCCTGCAATAGCCCAGGAGGATTAGGCACAATGTGATTTTGTTAGCACAAGTGATTGTTATTCCAAACATATTTCATTACTTCAGTTTTTCTCCACCTTTTCCCCAAGACTTTTCAGTAGAGTTGGTCTTTTTTTTTTTTTCAAATTTTGAAATTTCCACATTAGAATAAGGAATACTTTCTTCTTTATAAAGGATGTATTCCCTCATTTTTGACCTCTTCTAAGTTGTAGTACTTAACTTGTTTACTGGAAAATTCATAAGGTAAATAATTGAGTTTTCATGAAATCTAAGTAGTCTTTGAGTATTGTAGAATTATATAAATTGTAACTTTTTTTATCTAAAATGATTCACTACTCTATTTTTTTAAAATGAAAGACCATTAATCTGCCCTCTGTTATGCCTGTCTTTTCAAAAGGATTATGCAGAATACAAGGGGTAGAATTTAGCTCTAGCTTCTTTGAACATTGTAGCTGATAAGTAATCATGATGATGACCTAGATCTAAGGTGAAATAAAGCTTCTGCAATATGATCCAATTGAAGTTTTCTTTTATTGTAGTAATTTAGACTCTTTCATAACAACATAATAAGATTATTTAATCCTTATTGCCCTGAGAAATGTTTTAAGTCATCAGGAAAATATTTTAATACAGAACAGGTGCATGGTAACATATCACACTTTGCTATTATGTATTCATGAGGATACCCTACAGTTGTGGAATTAGGAGCATTCCCATGCTTGCAAAATTCAGCAGTCAGGCTTTTTTCCCCATCTTACATGGAAAAAATATCTTATTTTTGCAGCATGTAGCATATTAGAATGAAGAGAAGAACCATCAGGAGCTCTGCCTGAGAAGCCTTTCCTAGAGAATACAAGCTAAAATCTGTAACCATTTTACTCTTCTAACCCGTTTACCTGCTATTCTATGCCATGTTATTATGTGTTTATAAATAGTAAAATGGTTTTCCAAAATGTCTCAATATATTCTTTTGCTGTTTCATTATTACATGTTTGTATTACAGCAATGCATAGGGGCCTTAAAGATTAGGGCTCCATTGTGTTAGGTACTGTATGAACATACATAATAAGAGATGGTTCCTGCCCATCAAAACAAACTAAGAGTGTGGGAAAAAGGCAGTTTAATGGGATTATGAAGTTACAAATGCTAGAGAAAAGGAAACCTGATGAAATGAGGAGAAAGGCATTTTCAGTTGTAGGCAAGGCCTTGAACAGTCTAATTAATAAATCTATTGTTTTAATTTTTTGGGCATAATTTAAAGTATGCAAACCCATCTTTATCATCCCTAGTTACTGTAGGAGAGTGTTCATAGTGGTATAACCTATTCTGATTTGATAAAATATAGCAAGCTGTAGTAGTGTAAACAGCCGTATATCAGTATAACTGCATTAACACTCAGTTCTTCCCCTGTATAACTTGTAAATAAGCCACAGTCCTTACTGATACAGTTATTCTATTAAAACTTCAAGTACAGACCAGGCCTAAAACTGTAAATAGTTTTTGCTCAACCTGTTCGTCCCAAGAGAGCTATTGTGGAACCCTCTAGTTTCTTTATAGCATCTGGACTTCAGGGCTAAGTACAGACATTTGGGGGCATTAGGAGATGTTAAAGTTATTCAAAATGGCCACCTGATATCAGGTAAGTTGGGACTGGGGGGAGCTAATAGAAGGGCTGGGGAGCAAGCAAGCTGGGGGGAATCAGGAGTCTGCTGGAGGATGGGGCAGACATGATCCATGGGTGCGGTGGGGGCGCAGACATACCATACAGGGTGTTGCTGATAAAAGCAGCTGCACTCAGAGCGGCTTGTGGGATGGCAGGGGGAGGGAGGGCAGGGGGAGCAAGGGGTTGGGGGACAAAAAATAGCTCAGTGTGGGGGTGAGGTTGAAAAGCATAGCCCCAGGGCTGCAACTGTTGGCTGGGTTTTCCCAGCCCTGGGGTTGTGCAGGAAAAGTGTGCAGAGGTTCCATGCACCAGTTTGACCTATGTCAAGTAAGTTTTATAATACATCAACCCAGGTTTATCATAAACCTGATGCTGCAATTTTAGACCAGTTTGTGTGCATGGAACTTCTGTACACTTATAGATGTAGATTGATTTCTGGTCACTGAGACTGGGTCTGTAAATGTAAGTTCGGCACCAGGACAAGTTAGTTTATTTAGCCTTTGAGACTACAGGATATCTATGCTGCTCTGTGGCATACTCATCCTCCCTCCCCATCTAACTGGTCCTATTTTGTATGTGCCAAACCCAGAAATGAGGCAACGTGCTACTGCTTTCAAGGATAATGGAGATGAGAATCTCAGAAGCCATTGATGGGGCTTTCCTCAAGCTATTTTAACTGGCTTATTTCATGATTTGGTGTGTATGGAATGGATGGGCAGGAGTGTGCTTCGTGGTAGTGCTCTCATGAGTTCTCTGGAAGCGTTACAACCATACCCAGGTATCTTGCTGTTATAAAACGGGTCTTAGAAAAGAATTAATGCTGAGTTAATAATTTTGATATTTAAACTGAGTGAAAGCTAAACTTATAACTAATTTTACTTTTTATTTCTTCCTAGATAGTTGCTTGAGAACATGTAACTAGGCAAAATATTTTTCTGTAAAGAAAAGCCCTTTGGTACAGGCTCATGTTTTCAGTTAGCCAGTTTTTCTTTGGTAATTTCTTCATGCTGTTATCCCATCATTCCAAATAGGTGTGGATCTTGTGTGCAGACGTATGAGTGTTGTACTGTGTTGGCTTCTACGCCTCTGATCCAGTGATGTGAAGACCCTTCTGTCTATTTGTTCTTTTACTGATGGAAGGTTAGGGTTACGTTTGTTTTTATCCCTGACCGTTGGCTTTGGTCTTGCCATGACTGAAGGAGAACCTGTGTGAAGCAACACTCCAAAGTGCTGAAAATAAAATTTGCCAGTTGGTCACTTCTGCCTAGCAATTGGATGAGCTGGGCTATAAATGTTATTGCAGTTTGCTGGATCTGAACTGCAGGGGAAAATGTATAGCTGAAACATGACCTTGGGGGAAAAAAATCACTGAAGAAACACAATGTCAAATTAGATTAGTACATTTCTTCTTGCAAGAAGGCTTATTTGTTGTACCTTATATAGTTTTTTTTTTTCCTTACAATTGACTGTGCATCTCTGTCTATAGGTGTGTGATCATCTACATTACTTTCTTTCCCTTCCCTTTTTTCTTTCTCACAGTGCATGCCAATTAAAGGTCTTGGATTTGTGCTTGGAGCCTACAAATGCATTTGCAAGGCTGGATTCTATCATCCCACCATCTTTTCAGTGAACAGCTTTCAGAGTAAGTGCCTTTGCATGAGCTGAAAAAAAGTTAAAAAACAGCATTAATAATGCAAGACTCCTTTTATCCTAGTCAGTGTTATACAGTAAAATCCCAATGGTTTGCAACTCTCAGATTATATAATAACTTAAGAAGTTCTAGCCCTTTGGTTTGTCATCTGTGTTACTCTTGAGGATCTGTAAAACACACCTACTTTAAGCATATTTGATTTGTAAATAAATTGAAAAATATGGAAAGAATTCTTGCTGTGGGGGAATGGAAGCTTTTTGGCATCCGTATTTGAGTAGGAGTGATGAAGAAATAAAGTACAGTAATTTTCAGTTTTATTACTGTTGAGTAGATGTTCTGGGCTTTGTCTGTATGTTTTAATTGTTCTAATTTTGTGCTAGTTGACTAGGGGAATCCAAACTATAATACTGAATTGAGTAATTAGAGACGGGTCAGGACTGAACAAACTGCTATCAGTGAAATGTGGATAACCTATGACCTACAGGGTTTCTAAAAATGTACAGCTTGAATGTATGGTACCTAGACCAGTTTCTTCAGACAGGGCACAACTATGAGAGGAGGAGGGGGGGAAAGAATGGAGAAAGAGACTTGATGAACATCAGGAAAGCTGCTTATCCATTCATGAACTGCGGACTTATACAGGTGACATGTACACATTGGTATATAACTTATATTGGTTTTGAGCACGCATGTAAATCATGCTTGGTTTGGAATGGACAAATGTGCAGTAGGTAGACCACTTCACTATCAGGTGGCAGTGCCAGTGGCCTGTTTGCCTTGGGTAAATGGCTACCCCAGAATAAGCTAATTTTTCCTGAAATAATGTCTACATTAGGTCGGAGTTGGACTGGAGTAGGACTGCCTAGAATCAGAGAAGTAGGGCTGGAAGGGACCTCCAAAGGTCATCTAGTTCAACCCCCTGCCTGAGGCAGGATCATCTCTATCCAAATGATCCCATACGAACAATAATCTAAATTCTAGATAAGACTGCCATCAACCCTATCACAAGACAGACCCAATATGCTAACCTCCTGCATACAAAGCAAGGGAATGAGAACAGCCAATGTCCTGCTTCTATAAAATGTTGTTAATATATGCTCAAGAGATCCTAGGTAGAGGGCCACACTTACAGAGAAAGGCAACCCCCCTGTCCCATAGTTCATACTAATATGACCCTGGAGTAAAATTCTTTCCTGACCCCAAATATGGAGGTTGGCCTGATCCTGAGTGGAGGGACAAGACCTTCTAGTCAGGCACCTCCAGATTTAAGTCCCAGAAGGGGGATTGGCACACCCCAGTCAAAGTCCCAGCTTTGGCTGTAGCCAAAACTGTGACCACTTCTGGAAGCCAGTGAGTGAGATCGGCCATGGGAGGACCCCTGCCCCGGTCACTTGGGGAGCATGTGCCCCTCCTGAGTAAGGTGGTGCCAGTCACCCATAGAATCATAGAATCAATGAGTCGGAAGGGACCTAGACAGATCATCGAGTCTGACCCCCTGCCATGGGCAGGAATGAGCACCGGGGGTGGGAGTGGTCATAAGACCCCAGCCAGGTGCCTATCCAGTCTCTTCTTCAAGATTTCCAGGGAAGGTGAGAGCACCACCTCTCTGGGAAGCCTATTCCAGGCTCTGGCCACCCTTACAGTGACGTAGTTCTTCCTAATATCTAACCTAAACCTATCCTCCCTCAGCTTGTGACCATTGTTCCTGGTGACTCCAAGGGGGGCCCTGGTGAACAGACTTTCCCCGAGTCCCTGCTGCTGGCCCCTGATAAGGTTGTAGGCAGCCACAAGATCCCCCCTCAGTCTCCTCTTGTGGAGACTGAAGAGATTCAGGTCCCTCAGCCTCTTCTCATAGGGCTGGCCACGGAGGCCCTCAATCATACAAGTGGCTTCCTCTGGACCCTCTCCAGGTTCTCCACATCCTTTTAAAAATGTGGAGCCCAGAACTGGACACAGTACTCCAGATGAGGTCTAACCAGTAACGAGTAGAAAGGCACTATTACCTCCTGTGTCTTGCACCTAATGTTTCTATTGATGAAACATTCTATTGCACCTGATTGCTTCTATTGGCCCCAAAACTGCATTCACCTTTTGTGTGGCTGAATCACACTGCAGACTCATATGGAATCTGTGGTTTACTGAGGCTCCCAAGTCCTTTTCGATGGTGCTGCTATCCAGGTATGTGTCACCCATTTTGTATTTGCATTTTTGAATATTCCTCCTGTGGTGCAGTACCTTGTTTTTGTGTGCATTGAACTTAATCCTGTTAGGTCTAGCCTGACTTTCCAACCTATTCAGATCTTTCTGATTTGTGCTGGCATACTGCAATGTGTTCACAATCCTTCCTGATTTCATGTCATCTGCAAACTTGCTCAAGAAGCTTTCTATGCAAGCATCCAAAATGTTAATAAACATGTTGAATAGCACCAGGCTCAGGACAGACCTCTGTGGGACTCCACTCAAAACCTCCAGACATACTGACATGGATCCATTAATAATTACCCTTTGCTTGAGGCTAGTGAGCCATTATCTTTCCACCTTATGGTAGTTTTATCTAGCCCACATTTCTCCAATTTGTTTATGACAGGGTTTGTCAACCAAGAGTACATATACACTTGGGGGTACTTTGAAAGGTCCCAGGGGGTACATGCGGGCAGGCAGGGATGGAGTGCTGCCACCCCGTGCCACTGGAGCAGGGCCAGGGTGGGGCGAGAGCAGGGCCCCACAGATGCTGTGCTGCTGCTGCTCGCCACACCCCTGCTCACCACCCCCTCTCCCCTTGCTCAGCATCCGGCTATGCTCCAGTAACTTCCCAGGTATTGAGGTGAAGCTGTCTCAACGCCTATTCCCTGTTTACATAATGTAAAGTGGTCAGACCCTGTGTTTTCAGAAAAGCCTTTAAATGGTCATCACCAAGGCAGTGCCTTCATTTCATTACTGAGTAGTGTCCCTCACGTTAACTGTTCTCTGCATAGATTTTGTACTGATATAATGGTTTGGTTAGAAATGCAGTTATACTGTTACAACTCTACTTATGAAGGTGTCATACTTCTATAGCATGCTCCCTTTCCCAACAAAGCTATAGTGATATAAAACACTTTAGGCTATTATAACAGGCCACACAAGGGGTGGTACTGCTCACTCTTCTGGTATGGTTAAACTTGTACAATTTTATAGTGTAGATATAGCCTAAGAAATCCCTTTGTAGTGATTTGGACTTTCTCATTGGCTTTTATTTACCTAAAGCTACTAGAAGACAAAACCTGTAGATAAATTTAACAGCTCTTTATGTCTCCCTCAGTAGTTCATCATAACTTTTTCTTTAATGAGTCAGCTGTGTTACTTAAGAAAACCTAAAGATGTTTAGGAGGCCTGCTTTAACTCTTGGTGCTTTATGAAAAGTGCCATGAGTTAGAGTGCCGCCCCCTCCCCCCCCTCCCGACTCAGTAGATGTTCACTTGTTGGGTCAGGGAGGATTGAGCCTGCCTGCACCAGCCCTGGCCAGGAGGTGAGGGTGCTCCAGCAGCCCCCAAGGAAGCTGCTGAACTGTCCCTCTGCCCAGCAACCCCCAGCTCTGGGGCTGTCAGTGTGGGAGGGAGGGAGATGGGGAGGGAGCAGCATGGAGCTGCCATCCGGGCTTGACTTGGCTGGAGCTGGAGGCGGGGGGACAGGATGGAACAGAGCCCCCTTGCCTTGTGGGCCCCCCCATCTAACCTGGCTAAAGTATTCAGGGGAGCCAGGCTGGGCCTGTGGGGCCAGGAAGCTCTGTTCCATACATCTTTTTAAAAATGGAGCTGAAGTGGGGCCACTCCCCCACTTCAGCTCCAGCCAGGCCAAGCCAAGGAGGCAGCTGCTGCTGCCACTGTCAAGAAGCCTGGGTGAGGGGTGGAGGGTGGAGAAGGGAGACCCCCTCGCCTTGAAGGCCTGGCCTGGCTCCCTCCAGTACCCCAGCTGGGTAGCTGGCAGGGGGAAGGGGTGTGAGGCAAGGGGGCTCTGGTCCACCCTGCCCACCCCTTCAGCTCCAGCCAGACCAGGCTCAGCCAGAAGCTCCATGCCGCTCCTTTTCCCTACCTCCCCTGCTGACAGCCCTGCAAAGTGCAAAAACTTAATTCTGGAGGGACAGAAGTTCCCTAAAGCTTTAGAGCGCCTTCATCTAATACCTCATTTCAGGAGGGTTAATTTTTCTTGTGATTGGCCATTTTAAAAGCACTCTGCAGCTATGCATGTGCATTACATCACAACTGTAGAGTGCTTTCAGGGCCCCAATTGCATAAAAAATATAATTCATGTAAGTGCCCTATGCTATTTAATATTCTGCCATCTGGCTAAGTTTTCCTACCTTTTGCAAACTTTAGAGAACAAATGTGTCAATCTGCTGAAGTAGATCCGACACTAGTGGTACAAAACACGTGAATATGTAACTGATGCACAGTATGACTGTGATGGCAGGGGACAGACTCAGTGGCCCAGGAAGTCCCTTTCATTCCCATGTCCTATGTTCCTAAGTGCACTATGGATGGGTCAAATCTATGCTCTTGCTTCATGTTTGTTTTGGTGGGCAAAGGCTATGACATGCTTACTTGAGTCAAAAGTGGCAAGCACTACAGGAGTGTAAGTAGATTAGGTGCTTTTTCTATTGTTAAGTAGGGCTTTGATTTCTGTATTGAGTTACAGACATGAGTTTCAAATATTTATTTATTTGACCCACCATTTGCTTTTCTTTTAGTGGTATTAGATATGTCAGCCCATTTGTGGCTAATCGGAATGGGCTGTTCCTGAAATGGATTAGCAAGGATATATCTGACTGGCTATGTATATGTGCACATGTATGTATTGGTAGATATGTTAAGGTGGTTGTTAAGTTTGCATGAGTATTTTTGTTTCAGTGTTCCATTCATTTATGTTGAGTGCCAGATCAAGCAGTGATTATCAGATTATTTCAATCCACTGGGGAAGTGAGCAGGTAAAATGCAGCTTTATGAAACCATTTT